ACTATGCTGAATTTTTCTTCTCTATACAAATTATTTAGCTGTGACTATAATAAAAAAAGAATGTTGCTTCCCATGTGGGCCAAAAATAATAGCATAATTCCATGTTTTAAAAGCACACATGGTCCATATATTTAACTACACTGATTTGTGTGTTGAGCAGTTTTTATTCACTGTGATGTCAAAGTGCTTTAAAATTCAGCATTTTTATACAAAACATATTTAAAATTACTTCACACTTCAGTGAAATTCACTCAGCTTTAGGCTAAATATAGAAACTTAACAGTCTACCACACTCATGTCAAATCTGGTTAAGGGGGGAAGTAGAAAAGGTAATCCATTCAGTCAAAATCTCCAGGGAAATATAACATTCATGTAACACTATGTTCCTTCTGGCACACTGCTATTATTATTTTATTTACTTTTTACTGAAACTTTTTTATAAACTATCCTAGAAAAGAATAACACACTTTTAAATGATTTGGGCCTCGTGTACATTTATTAAATGTAAGACCAAACTATAGAGGGATTCAAGCTTTTCTGAATAGCCTTGTAGTATAAGACGTTTATGTCTTTTCTATTTAAAATTCTTAAATATTATATCAATATACTTTTTATGCTATGGCTTAATATAAATGATAGTTCAAGATATATATAATCTAGTGGTTGTAAAATGGATGCAAAGGCCTTTTGAGGATCATTTCAACTAAAATAATCTCTGATTTAAAAGGAAAAACCCCCAAGGCCAGGCATGGAAGATTTCACTCTCTTCTAAATTACTGGAAAGTACTCCCTTTGGAGCATGTTACTTCATATACTCTCAACACTATGATTCTGGTCCTCCTTACTCTCTAAGTTAACTTCCATGAATCTTTTCTAACTATCCTAATTTAATCTAATCTATTTTTTTTTAAAGATTTTATTTATTCATTTTTTTCCCCCCAAAGCCCCAGTAGATAGTTGTATGTCATAGGTTCGCATCCTTCTAGTTGCTGTACGTGGGACTCGGCCTCGGGTTGGACGGAGAAGTGGTGCCTTGGGGCGTGCCCGGGATCCGAACCCCGGGCTGCCAGCATCAGAGCGCACGCACTTAACCGCTAAGCCACGGAGCCAGCCCTAATCTATTTTTTTTTAAATGAAGATAACTCCAAAGTCTGAAGTAACACAACCTACGTTCCAGTCTTGGCTCCCCACCCACTAATAGCGTAGCATCGGTCAATTATTTTACCTTCCTCTGCCTCATTTTCCCTCATCTGTTAAACGTGTATAACAGTGATGGCAGTTTGCAGAAGTATTTAAGGATTAATAAGATAGTGGCTGAAAGCTCTTAACATTGCATGGTCCAGATTGCACAGTCAGCCAAAGGATGTTAGCTGCTATTATTTCTGCTTCTTTTAAAAATTGGGTTATGCATTTCCAGCTCCCTTTAAGATATCTTCATCTAAGTTGCATCACCAGTAATGCATACTTAGCAAGGTCAACATTAAATAAAAAATAAAATGAAATGCATCTCTTGTCACACACCATCTCTGATATGCCACAACTAGAGTCTCATTCACCCGGGTTTGAAACGTGAAATTGTCCTGTTTCTACATATGCAGTTATTATATCTTCTGAATTTTTCTTCCCCAGAATCCCTTTCAAAGATTTTTCTCAAATACTAGTTGAAGTGTTCATATGTCTTACCTACACTACCGCCTCCAAGACTTACAGTCTCCTAACTATTCATGCTGCCTTCAGTCATTTCTACTCCATAAAATCTGATCCTTTTGGTGAGGTTGATGTGACTGAGGCACACTTCTTGTCACATTATGCCTCTGGCCAGAAACTTTCAATGGAGCTCCAAAATGAAACAAAGTCCAAATTTCCTGTTCTATCATTCAATACCAACCTACTTCAGATACCAGTACTACATATGTCTTCTTTACTCACATCCTTATGAACTATTACCATTTCCTACTAATACGCTATTTTTTCCAACCTTATGCCATTTCTTACAATTTTCCAAAAGTTTCCCTTGTGTTAGTAGAGAGTCAGCCATTTTTATTAAATAAATGCAGGAGTTATGATATAATTCAAAATAAGGACTGAACATCAAATAAAACAAAATTCTGAGAAAGAGAATATCTGTAGAGTGTACTAGTTTCTTAGGGCTGCTGTAACAAGTACCACAGGCTGGGTGGCTTAAAAGAACAGAAATGTATTCTCTCACAGATCTAGAGGCTAGAAGTCTAAAATCAAGGTGCCAACAAGGTTGGCTCCTTCTGGAGGACTTTATAGGAGATGCTATTCCATGCTTCTATCCTAGCTTCTAGTGGTTACCAGACTTTATTGGTTTTCCTTGGCTTATAGATGTATCACTCCAATTTCTGCATCCATTGTTGTCAAATGAATATCTTCTGTGTGTCTAGTGTCTTCATGTGGCATTCTCCTTTGTTGCTCTGTCCTGTTCTGATAAGGACACCAGTCATATTGGATTAAGGGCCCATGGTACTCAGTATGACCCCATCTTAATTTGACTGATTATATCTGCAATGACTCTACTTCTTAAGGCCACATTCTGCGGTATTGGGAGTTAAGATTTCCACATATCTTTTTAGGGGCACAACTCAACTCATAATAAAAGAGAGTAAAAAAAATCATGGATACTGGATGCTGGACCTAGGTTATCTGAGTTCGTTCCTTGCTTTCTGAGTCAGTTCCTCACTTTCTGAGTTGGTTTCTCATTACCTGGGTTCATTCCTCATTCCTGCTACTTACAGAGCTCCGTGGTGCTGAGTAACCACTCAACATCCCTGCATTGCAATTTCCTCATCTGTAATATGAAAGTAGTAATAGTTCCCATCTTCTGGCATGTTTATGAGGATAAAGGGCATTAACATGAATAAACCATTTGAAACAGTGCCTGGCACATAGTAATCAATGTATGTATTATTTTTTAATTATTGCAGACAGCTAGGAGGTAGTAGGCTCATGCATACAGCAGGGGTGTGGAGGGTTGGACTTCTCTTTTTAATCTCCATAACCAGATACTCTACTGGATGTTTTCCTATTTCTCTGACTTCTTTTCTGGTTTTCACCTTTCTCTATTAAGCAGAATAGCTGTAAGAACATTCATGGAATATCTTCATTGAATGTATAATTAAGGCACCAAGTCTTATCTGCCTGAGGCAAATAAAGTCACGGAGGAGGAAATGATTGACTGCTTTACTACTAAAGGTTGGAGTGCCCCAGGAATGAACACTCGTGTCTCAGCTCTTCTCTATCTACAGTCCTCACCTCCAGAATAATTTCCAGTGCTACGTCTTTATATGCCATCTATATCGCAATGTACTCCATTAAAAAAAAAAAAACACCTCCAAACTGGTATATACAATGAATTACCTACATGACATCTACACAGAATTTTCTGATAGCCTATTAAAACTTAAAGCTTGAAAGAGTCAAATTCACATTAAGTGAAAAAAGTATTTATTTTTAAAACCAGTTTTAGAGCACAAAATAATTACAGAGGAAACATTATTTTAATATTTTGCACATTTCCTTGTCCCCCACCCCCATCCAAATTTTAACGACTTATGTTCTCTAATACCTGATTATGGGGATATTTGGTTTGAGATTTGTAACTATAAACCTTTTTTTCTTTTATAATTTATATTTTTACCAATTCTGTGTATACATAAAAAAACATGAAACGAATGAATGCATAAAACAGAATAATAATTCACATTGATGATCCTTCTTAGATAAAGTAAGCCTAGTTTTAGCTTAAAATAAGAATCTATTTGCAAATTAAATTCCCTAAATTTCAAGAAATTGTAAACATTCCCATCACATATTTACTCCTATCATTCCCATCACATATTTATTCTTAACTGAGTGGAATTTCTAAAGAGAAAAGCCATATTAGATGGTAATTTTAAATTAATTAGCAGCATAGAGAATATTATACAATTCTTCATGACCAAGTACAGAAAGCTAATGTAATGTATCTACATAAAGACCTTCAGTAAATCCCAGTAACTCATAACTTGAAAACATCTCTAAAAATTACCTGTAGGGGGCCAGCCCAGTGGCATAGCGGTCAAGTTCCAGCGCTCTGCTTCCGGCAGCCCAGGGTTCGCAGGTTCGAATCCTGGATGCAGACCAATGAACGGCTCATCAAGCCATGTGTGGTGGTGTCCCATATACACAAATAGGGGAAGAGGGGCACAGATTTTAGCTCAGAGCCAATCTTCCTCAGCAAAAAGAGGAGAATTGGCAACAGATATTAGCTCAGAGCCAATCTTCCTCACACACACACAAAAATTACCTACAATAAGCCCATTTTTATTGTAAACATTAGTTTTTACAATGGATTTAAATTCCCATGTTTTATTTTATAATTGATATGATAGAATAATATTTCCAATTTACATACAGAGCTCAGTTTTCTATGAGTATCTTTACTATATTGCATTAACATATTCAACACTGCTTTGAATAAAATATATTGTGATTTATATAGTCATCTCATATATAACATAAATTAAGAATTTCCAGTGGAATATATGTAATATCTTTAATGATACAAAGAGTGTCGGGCAAAAGTTAGTTTTACACAAGTGTTTATTAAATATTAAATGCAATTAATGCATTTCTATACATTTTATTTGAGTAAAATAATATGGTCTAGCTTGTGGGCACTGGTTCAAAATAAGTAAAAGTTGAAATAAGGAAACCAGTTACTATGTGTTGAGAAATTTTAATGGCTATTCTGTAGAGAGCTTTAAATAGGTTCTGAGGGGGCCGGCCCCGTAGCTTAGCGGTTAACTGCGTGTGCTCCACTACTGGCAGCCCGGGTTTGGATCCTGGGCGCGCACCAATGCACCGCTGCTCCGGCCATGCTGAGGCCGCGTCCCACATACAGCAACTAGAATGATGTGCAACTATGACATACAACTATCTACTGGGGCTTTGGGGAGAAAAAGGAGGAAGATTGGTAATAGATGTAGCTCAGAGACGGTCTTCCTCAGCAAAAAGAGGAGGATTAGCATGGATGTTAGCTCACGGCTGATCTTCCTCACAAAAAATAAAAAAATAGGTTCTGAGGGTACATGAAATTGAAATAGACTCCACACTCTTAGAACGTATACTCTAGAAAAGAAAATTAGACTTACTTATACATAAGTCATTATTTAACATAATATTAAATATAAGGTTAATGGGAACAAAACAAATTTATTATGTGGTTTTAGAAGATCTGCTTCCAGTTAGGTAAATCTGAAAATGTTTTGACCTGGAGCTTTCATAAACATCAAATGGACAAGTGGAATAACTCAAATAGTGTATAGTGAATAGTTTAATTTGGTTTGTAGTTTGAAGCAAAATAAAACAGAGAGATTGTGTAGCAAGAAATATGATTAGATGAGATTGGAAAAGTCGGCTTGGGGACAGATAATTCTGGGTTTCACATAAAAAATTAAGGTAAATTTCATTTAGTATGTAATGAAGACTCTTCAAAAGATTTTATGTAAAATATAATATGATTGGGGTGGCTTTGGGAAAATTAACCCGACACCGTTGTGCCATGTGAATTAGAACAGAAGGTTGAGAAGTCCATTGAAGTTTAATGCACTACCAGGGAAGTGGTAATGAGTTTAAGGACAGTCGAAACAGACCATCGGCTATAGGGCTGGAGAAAAAGAAAAGAGGACAGTGAGTACAAAGATGTTACTAAATGACATAAGAAATAGAGACAAAAGAGCCTGCTTGGCAGGGGCCCGCCAGTGGCATAGTGGTTAAGTTTGCATGCTCTGCTTCTGCGGCCCCGGGATTTGTAGGTTTGGATCCGAGCATGGACCTACGCACCACTCATCAAGCCATGCTGTGGAGGCATCCCATATACAAAGTATAGGAAGATGGAACAGATGCTAGCTCAGGGACAATCTTCCTCACCAAAAAAAAAAAAAAAGAAAAAAAGCATGCTTGGCAAAGTGATGACTCCACTCTGGACATGTTGTGTCAATATGCTACAAAAACACCCAGATCAGAGCTGCTTAGAAGTTATTTGGAAATGCTAAATTATAATCAGGGAAATGGTCTGAAATCTATACCTTTTGTTATAGTTTTCTTTCTGTGAGTTTCTAGGTCAGAATTTGGAAAAGTGAAGATTTTGACCGTGTACACCCCAATTCTCTGAGATGCTTAGTAAAATGCAGATTCCAAAGCCATTCCCTAAACTATTAAATCAAAATATGTATTTAAATTCACTAACCTTATAACCTTATTGCCTTTCTTTATTCTGTCATTGAATTATATGTATTAAGTTGGAGCTTAAATACAATTCAGATAAATCATTTTTTGTTTGTTTCTTTATTGCAGTAACATTGGTTTATATCATTGTATAAATTTCAGGCATACATCATTATATTTCTATTTCTGCATGGATTACATCATGTTCTCATGTTCATCATTCATGCTAATTACAATCCATCACCACACATGTGCCTAATTATCCCTTTCACCCTTCTCCCTCCCCCCTACCCCACTGGTAACCACCAATCCAATATCTGTCTCTAAATTATAATGAACAGTACATTATGAGAATAAAACCATATATTTGAACAATTTTGTGCAATCTTGATGCTTCACTTTAAGTTAATGAGTTACGGTAATCTATAGAAATTATAATAATACTTAAATTAATTTTAACTCACAATGCAATACTGTTGATTAATGGATACAGGAATAGCATTTTTATCAGAAATTGTTTAAATATAGTCAGTGTTATAAATGGCCACATTTTATTTCAAAGCAGAAGTAACACAGATAATTAGCTTTTATTATTGTGTTTCACTATTCATATTTTGACATATATTTTACCCATATTTTTATGAACTTAGCCTCTGTCTGATTAAATTAGAAGCCCATTGAAGTCATTGTACATTAATTTTCTATTCTTATCACCTACTACATGGAATTAAATTATGTAGAACCATCAAAGAGATTGTGAAACTTTTAGCATATTAAACAAAATATTAGTAAAGAAACTTTCTTTTATTAAATTGAGGAGCATTTCTCCATAAAAAAAATAGGCAAAAATTCTAACAAAACGTTATATTTATTCCTTGGGTGGTTCCTCAAATATTCACGTTTGGTTTTAGGTGAAGAATGTAAAGGAAGTCAGGAAATTTGGAGAAATTTAATTACTTATATTTGGGATCTAACATTTCTGTCTTTAAATGCCTTAAAGAGCAGACAGTTTTGTAAAAAGCAATCTGAAATTGTCTTAACAAAACCAATATTAATCTTATTACATAGAGTTAGAATAAAAAGACCACATTCCATGTATGCAGATATAGAAGATGAAACTAAACTTATTGCAAGGATAAACCCTTTCTGGATAGTCAAGGCTTTGATAACATCGAGGAAGTGATTGACTGTGGACAAAGTCACTAGAGATCCAACAATGTTACCAGAGGGTATTCATATAAATGTAGTTCAGTAAGCAGACCCCGAGGCCTAGAGACCCATTTTAATAAGAAGAGTAGAGGATCACGATGAGTTTGTTTTAGTAGTGATGGAATAAAGAGTAACTTAAAGGGATTGAAGAGCAACTTGTGGAAAATTTTTTTAAAGAGAAAATGAGTTATACCAGAGTGACTGTAGGCAGGATTGGAAAGATGTTTGCCATATAGAGATACAGCCATGACATTTTCCTAAAAATGAGATTTATATACCAATCTAGATCTGGATCTGGACTGGGTTGAATCGTATAAATTTCAGTCTTCTTAAGAATATAATAACTGAATAGATCCTAATGTTGACAGTTAGCTATGAAAAAACTCTTTTAAGACATCTTTAAAAGAAATAAAACACGGGTTTCCTAATAACAGGAATTGTTGAGTCATTGTACATCAGATTATAAATAATCTATAAAGAAACCATGTATTAGTCATTTAAAAATATTCTAATTAAATATGTTGTTAACAACTACTGTTTTAACTGGAAATTTAAGTGTAACCTGATTAAGTTCCAACTTTTTGTGGTTAAAATATCTATAGGGATACAAAACTAGATGAGAGATCATAGAAATATGCAAAATTAATAGTGTCAGGCAGTTAGAGGAATATGTGTTGATGATAAGGCTGATGGAAAAGAATTAAGAAAAAACATACTTTGGCTGTGCCTTGAAGATTGCCAAGAGTTAGACCAAAGTAAAGACCTTATGATAAAAGAGAAATTTCCTGGGGCCAGCCTGGTGGCATAGCAGTTAAGATCACGCATTCCACTTCAGTGGCCCGGGGTATGCTGGTTTGGATCTTGGGCACAGACCTACTCACTGCTCATCAAGCCATGCTGAAGCAGCATCCCTTATAGAAGAGCTACAACTCTACAACAATGATACACAACTATGTGCTGGGGCTTTGGGGAGAAAAAAAAAGAGACAGAGGAAGATTGGCAACAGATGTTAGTGCAGGGCCAATCTTCCTCAGAAAAAGAAAAAAGAAAGAAAGAAATGTCCTGCTGACTCAGGTCATCTATCTACCAGGAGCTAAGTATTTTTGCTGCATCTGGAATATAGCCCTCTCTCTCAAGCGGGTGGGTAATTCAATGGTAAATTTATCCTGTGAGTGAAAGGCTATAGACAGCTGTAAATGTAATAGAGACTCCAGAAATAAACCCTTGCATATATGGGAAAATGATCTTCAACAAGGGTACCAAAACCACTCACTGGGGAAAAGACAGTCTCTTCAACAAATGGTGTTAGGAAAACTGGATATCTACACGCAAAAGAATGAAGTTGGACTCTTATCTTACACCATACACAAAAATTAACTCAAGATGGATTAAAGAACTAAACGTAAGACCTAAAAATATAAAAGTCCTAGGAGAAAACATAGGGGAAAATCTTCATGAGATTGGACTTGGCAATGATTTCTTGGATATGATACCAAAAGCGCAAGTAAAAGCAAAAACAAGTAAATAGGGATACATTAAACTTAAAAACTTTTGGGCATCAATGGACACAATCAACAGAGTGAAAAAACAACCTATGGAAGGAAGAAAGTATTTGCAAACCATATATATAATTAAAGAGTTAACATCCATAATATGTAAAGAACTACTACAACTCAACAACAAAAAAAATCAGATAACCCATTTAAAAAACAGGCTAAAGACTTGAATAAACATTTCTCCAAAAATGATATACGAATGACCAGCAAGCATATGAAAAGATGCACAATATCACTAATCATCAGAGAAATGCAAGTCAAAACCACAAAGAGATATCACCACACACATATTAAGGCGACTACTATCAAAAAAATAGGAACTAACAAGTGTTGGTGGGGATGTGGAGACATTGGAAGACCTGTGCACTGCTGTTAGAATTGTGAAATGGTGCAACTCCAATAGAAAACAGTGTGGAAGTTCCTCAAAACATGAAAAATAGAACAACCGTATAATGTAGCAATTCCACTTCTGGATATATATACAAAATAATTGAAATCAGAATCTCTAAGATACATCTGCACTCCCAGGTTCATAGTAGCACTATTCACAATCACCAAAAAGTGGAAGAACTCAAACTTCCATTGGTGGATGAATGGATAAAGAAAATGTGATGTGTATATATGTATATATAACAGGATATTATTCAACCTTAAAAAAGAAGGAAATCTTGTCATTTGAAACAACGTGGATGATCCTGGAAGGTATTATACTAAGTGAAATAAGCCAGACAGAAAGACAAATAACTAATGGTATCACGTATCTGTGGAATCTAAAAAAAAAAAAGTCGAACTCATAGAAACAGAGTAGAAAAGTTGTTGCCAGGGCTGGAGAATGGGGGAAATAGGGAGAGGTTGGTAAAAGGAGACAAACTTCCAGTTATGAGATGAATAAGGTCTGAGGATCTAATGTGTAACATGGTGACCACAGTTGATAACACTGTGTTGTATAATTGAAATTTGCTAAGAGACTAGAACTTTAATATTCTTACCAAAAAAAAAAAAAAAACAAAAGAAAATAAATATGTGAGGTGATGGATGCGTTTAATTAATCAAAGGGGGGAGTCCTTTCACAACGTTTATGTGTATCAAATCATCACATTGTGCACTTTAAATATCTTACAATTTTATTTGTCAATTATACCTCAACAAAGCTGTGGGGGAAAAAGCAAGAATGTCCTGTGTGACCCGCAACAATATGGATGAACCTGAACGACATTACACTAAGTGAAATAAGCCAGTCACAGAAAGACAAATACTGTATGATCCCCCTTATATGAGGTAAATAAAGGAGTCAAATTCATAGCAACAACAGGCAGAGTGGTAGTTGCCAGGGGCTGGAGGTAGGGGTAAAACAGTAGTTGTTTAATGGGTTTAGAGTTTCAGATTTGCAAGATATAAAAGTTCTGGAGATCTGTTTCACAACAATGTCAATATACTTAACACTACTGAACCGTGCACTTAAAAATGGTTAAGATGGTAAATTTTATGCTACGTGTTTTTTACAATAAAAAACAAAGAAACATGTCCTCTTTGAAAAGACAGAAGACCATGAGGAGCCAACAGATTATAATATATAGAGAACAGCATGAGATTAAAAAAAAAAAATAGTGATAGAAGAAATGTTTACAATGAAACTAAAAATACAAAACTAGAAATAAACCCACATCAGAGGAAGTAAATGCAGGATTTATGTTGTAGAAAGTAGAATCAGATGTGGAAAAAAAGAGAGAGAAAATTTCTCAGAATATAGATTTAAAGGCCAAAGAGATTTATAAGATTAAATAAAAACATAACATGATAGAGGACAGAGGATAAAGAATTAGCCTTCAGAGAGTTGATACTATTGAAAAAAAAAATGGAATGAAAGAGAAAAATATAGCTGAAAATGAATACTTTCATGAAATAACACTTTCTTGTGATAAAGATTGGTGTATGTAAATTTCTGGAAAAATAAGTAAAAGAGGGTCATAGCTTAGAGATAACTACAAATTATTGTGACAATAACAGAATTTTTAAAATCTCTTTAGGAAACCTCAAAAGAAATAAAAATTTGGGGTTTCAAACTTATGCTGCCTCAAACTATACTGGGTATATAGAAGAAAAAAATTTATTTGAAGAATTGTATACCTGCCCAGGTTTCTTTCCCATGTAAAAGTTATATAAAAGCTTTTGCAAATATGCAATTGTTCCGTCAATGTTTCACTAATGTAGTTCTTGAAAAATATTTCTTGAACATTTCAAATTTGTCTTGAATTTTAGAATTTACCAAATTTGACACTTCATCCCACACATAATACAGATCGTAATTTAAATCTTGTTGCTCTTGGTAAGGTGAAAATTGCAAGACTCTTAGAGGTAAAGAGTTCTTATCTTATTTGTCATACATTTTCCCATAGGCTTCGTATATTATCAAGTCAGAGTCATGAAATGTACAGATGTGTCTGCTTCAAGCTCTCTACTGGAAAGTGGGATTGTCCAATCATAAAACAGTCTTGACCCAAAGAATTGGTCTTGCCTACTTGAAAAAGGAGAGAAGAAAACAAAGAAATTTTCTTCATAGGCTACAGTGGATTTTGGAAGGGCATATTATGAAACTTACTTCCAAGCAAGGCCTTCAGAATGCAAGTTGGGGCAGGGAGGGTTGTTCTGATACCTTTTCTACTTTCCTTCAAGGTTAGTTTATGGTAACACTCTATCTCAATTCTCTCACACATAAAGGGCACAAAAGGGTGGTTTCTTTTTATTCTTTTACGGAAATATGAAAAAATAGACCAGTAACATAAAGAAGGATTACAAAAGGAGATTTGCAGGCATTGCATAGTCTCACTTTCATTACAGAACACAGGCTTATATTTTGCTAAGAGCCCAGAGACATTTTGTATCCTGCTTAAGACAAATAGACACTGATTTAATCTGTTTTTTCTATTCTGCTTTCTGTGAGAAGAGGAAAAAATGATTTTTTAGTGATGTCAAGGAATCTTAGATTTAGTTTGGCATTTTTTTCTTGAGGATCTCTATTGACTATAAGGGATCACACAAGGTGAAAGAATAGCTGATGAAAATGGAATATTATAAAGAAAAGACAGTGAAGAGTGAAGTCTGTTAACCACTAAAGACTTTTTGAACAGGGTTATTGAGGTACCATCTACATACCATAAAAATCCATTTAATTTTATAATTCAATAATTTAAGTAAATTTACAGAGTTGTGGAACCATCACCACAGTCTAGCTTTAGAAAACTCCATCACTCTAAATGTGCCTGTTTGTAGTCATTCCCTACAAACCTAGGCAACCACTAATTTATTCTCTTATTCTATAGGTTTGATTTTTCTGGAAAAAAATCTATTCCAAAAGTGAATACAGTTATGTTTTAATAAATTTTAGACAAGTGTCAACTGAACCTCATATCCCTGACTCTGTTGTCCAGAATTCCAAATATCTGCACCTTCATGAGAAACAGCCCTGCCTATGTTTCCAGAAAATAAAAACATTTACAAACATGCTTACTGTTGCAAAAGCCATTTGTTGTTGCTTAGAATAGTCTTCTCTCGACACTATGTTACAAAGAGTTGAAATCTTTATTTCTCCAATGCTCCTTTCCTGCTTATCAGACATGATTCCAGTGCCACACCTCTTTTTCCTGTAACTGACTATACACTCAACTCTAGTTGTGCTTTGTTCTTATTCATTAATTCTGAGCTTCCCCATAATTCCAAGGCTTACTACGTGAGAAATTCTAAGTGTAATCAGCGTAAAGGACTAGGTCTCTGTTTCATATGGATACATCTCCTAAACGTCAAATGCTCACCTTTATAAATGGACAGCCATTATTGCCCAGGGTAGTAAATGCATGCTGGTTGTAATTCTGACACCTCATTGTAGCCACGCTGGTACCAGGCATTGTAGTGAATTATTTTTGAGAAATCTTCATCCCCTCCATAATATCTTACCTGGTCAGCATCTACATTTGCATTCATTCCTTCAGAAATTGCTGGAATTACCAGGTAGCTCTCAGGCCAGGTTCCAGGTTTGCCTCCTGACCTGTGATCCCTTGTTGACATAAAGTCAAATTTGTGTGTTTTACCTTTCATCCAAGATGTGCCAAGAAAGTTTATTTACACTTTTTTTAAATGAGGACAGACAAATATTCTGTATCCTAGCTTAAACAGACCCCTCTAATATTCAATTTCAATAAATAGGTTGGTAAAGGAGAAATTGGAGTGATTCAAAAGCCACCTGCAGGAAACCTGACGAGTCAAACAAGAAATAATGACATTTTGCACAGATGAGAAAGAGTACCCTAAAAAAAAAAGTCAATATCTTTCTGTTTTGTCAGAAGGCAGAGAAATATACAAGATGTTATGTGAAAAAACTCAGCGTTACCTGGGAGTGCAGTGACAGAATGACAAGGTTATGAACGGAGCTATGTATACTGTTCTATCTCTCTTTTTATAGTTAAGCCTCAAGTCATCAGATCCTGAACTCTCACAAAAGAAAATACCAACTGGTAAATCAAAATTGCTGTTGAGAATATCTGGTACTGGCATGACAAGTTTTTTTGAGGCCATTAAGAGTTCAAATGAATTAAAATTTGAAATATGTTTCTCCTCCATTCTAGATTTTTAAAAGAAATTTTAGGTTAAAAGTGATTGATAATAGTTGAATTTTTTCCTATTCATGCTTTTTAATATACTTTAACTGCTGTAACATGTAATTCTTCCTTAAGAGAAAAATCACAGCAGGGGAGAGACAATATGATCTAAGAAAAAACTGTGGGCTTTAGAATCAGACATAGATTTGATTTCCAGCTCTGTGCTCACTATGCATTTGAACTTTTATGTAAAAAACAGATGAAAACTTAATGGTTGTTACCTAAATATTTATTTTTTGCCACGACTAGCTTATTCATTGGTCTTAATCGCTAAAACAATTTTATAGTGTAGGTGGTCCAGCCTCATTTCTCCACCTGAAATCTGAAAGCAACATAAGTAAAACTAGTGATCCATTTGGACCTAAATCTGTATGACTCCAAAATACATTTTACTTTCATTTCAGCATTTTTTTGATTAACTGAAATTCTGGTGTAGATTTACATAACAAAGTTCACAAAGCATAAATGTACAGTTCAGTGAATTTTTACAAACTGATCACATTTGTGTACCTGAAGCTCAATCCAGAAACAGATAATTACCGGCCCCCCAAAAGCTTTCCTTCTAGTCACTCTCTCCCAAAGTAATCACTATGCTAACTTCAAAATCACAAACGAAATTTATATAAATAGAATTATATGGCATAAAATTGTTTGTGTGTGCCTTCTTTAGTGCAACATTATGCTTGTGAGATCTCTCTCTTTTACTGCATGTAATTTAAGTTTGTTCATTCGCATGACTGCATATTATTCCATTGTATGAACTACCCAATTTTACACATATATATTTTACATATACATATATATGTGTAAACATGTATACATATATGTGTAAAATATACACATATATATGTTTAAAATGTGTGTGTGTATATATATATCTTGCAGCTATGTTCAGTTTCAGATATTACAAGTAAGGCTAATGACATTTTGTGCACGAATTTTGGTGAATATTTCTACATATTTCTATTGAATATACACCTGGGAATAAAATCGTAGATCAAAGAGTATGTAGATGTTCAACTTTAATAGATAATGGAGAAAATATAATTTTTGTGTGTGTGTACATTTTAGTTTTTCATGCTACCATGTCCTGGAATCCCAAATTCCTCCTCTGCCAAGATATTTAACCCATCTAAATATCTCAAGTTGCACATCTGAAAAAAAAGAATAAGCTTTCAAGCGTGATAGTCAAATACTGTGGCATATTAAGAGATATCCATATTTGGCCCATTGGAAATATTTTACCTATATTAGTAGTTTACCCATTTGTATTTTCTCCTTTGTTTTCCATACAACATCATCAATTATTTTAATAATTACATCTGTGGCTATTAATTCTAATGCCTCAAAAACTCATATGCTTAATATGTCCAGAGAGTATTTGCATTCTAAGAAAAATTTTATATGTAAAATATGTATGGGAAATATCTTAGATTTGTCATATTATGAAGATGTGAACATGAAGTTAAAATAGTAAACACACCATTTAAGATCTAGGTAGCCAATTTCAAATAGCATTATACCATAGATACCAACTCAGAGTGGTAAATAAATACAGTCCTTGCTTTCACTAAGCTTAGAGTCTGTCTTCATATAATAGGTTCATCCATAATTACGAAGTCAGATCTTTCTTCCCTTTTAATTTGCTGCAGAATAATGCTCAGTGATAGAACTATCACTAAGCTAATTGAAAGTGGTGTATGCCACTGACTTAAAATGAAGAGGCATGTTTGGGGATAGTGAATAGAGATGATAAGCACAATAAGTTTAGGAACTCAAGAACTCTATTTAA